CCTCAAGAGGGTCGCTGTGGCGGCCTCGGTGGAGGTCTATGTCTGTGACCTCAGGCTTTGCAGCCTGGAGCTTGCAAAGCTCTGGCTCCTCCCTACAGAGCCCTCCTCCCCACACCCACCCCCACCCCCAACTGCCCTGCAGCTCAAAGGCCCCCCACAGCGAGGGCCCCATCTGCTGGAGGCTCGGTGACCTGTGTCAAATGAGCAGGCGCTCGGTCACACTCCAGAGCCTGGAGGAGGCTGTGCACTCTGGGAAAGCTGAGGAGCTCCTGCCTGGGGGCCGGCTGGGCAGGGGCCCCACAGGGGAGCCTGAGACTGGCAGCAGTCTAGCTGGGAGCTACCCTGCCCAGGCAGGGAGACAGAAGGGAAGGGGAAACAAACAGAGGAGCTTCCCTATCTCCTCGGGGCTAGCATCACGGACAAACCACGTGGACCAGACTCTGGACTGGGCACAGCCCCTTCCTGCCTTCTGGTCCCTTGTGCAGACCTGCTGGATCATTCAGGGAGTGGATAAGGGTGTCTGGGTGCCTATGAGATGGGGAGAACTCATTGTATCTGTTCACCCGGGTAAGAGAGCATGCATGGCCAGCTCCATGTGCTAACAGATACCAAAGTGTACCTATTTGTGTGAAAAATAAATACGGTGTGCCAGTCAAGGGTCACTGTGTTTGGGACCCCAGGGGACTATAGGTCTCAGATTTCTTTCTTTTTTAGTGTCAGACAAGGAAGACCCCTTTCAGCCTATATGAGCGTTCTGTGTTTGACCCTATTTAGACACATTTATTGCCTGTATTTATTGTTAGGCACTGTATTGTGTAACTGCATGTTTAGCTACTGATGCAAGACGATATGTTCCTGTGGTGAATTGGTATGTGTGTGCCGGTGTTGGCTTGCATTTCTGCATCTGTATGTTCAGTATGTGTGAGAGTGCACATCTCCAGGCATGTCTTCTCTATCCCATCTGCACCAACCAAGAAGGTGCCTGACTTCCATGTGTACACCGTGGCTGTGCAGTGTGGTTATAAAGATAAGTTCTCCCTGGGTCTGTGAAGGTAACAATCCTAGAGCAGTGGTTCTCAGCCTTTCCAGTGCTACGACCTTTTAATACAGTTCCTCATGTTGTGGTGACCCCAACCATAAAATTATCGTCATTGCTACTTCATAAATCATACTGTGATTTTGCTACTGTTATGAATTGTAATGCTAATATCTATGTTTTCTGATGGCCTTAAGCAACCCCTGTGAAAGGATCATTTGATCCAAAGGGGTCTTCAACTCACAGGTCTAGAACTGCTGTCCTAGAGATAGGGGCCATTCTGGTAGTACGAGTATGTGCCAGGGGCCTATAATGGTCCTCACACAATCTCCAAGAGCAAGAAAGGAAAGGATTCCAAGATTTTCAATGACAGACTTAACTCCAAGGAAAAGTGAGACTCAAAACCTAAATTCCCAACTCGAAGTTAAGACTTTTACCTTTCCTAGTTCATGCTGCTGCTCACCCTCCGGGCAGCATTCACTATGGACAGGAAGGACACTTAAACTACATTCTTTGTTACAGCCTTGGAGCCTCAGAGCAATCCTAAGATGCAAGCATCACTGTTCCCACTTTAAAATGGAGAAGCCGTAGCTCCAAGAAGCAAGTGATTCACACAGGCTGCTTGCTTATAGGAATGTTAGCCTAGGGACGAGATGTGCTGGGCCACAAGCCGAAGCTTGGATACTGCTTTACTGAAGATAACCCTCTGTTCGGCACAGACCTGGGAACACAGCTTCCAGCTAGCCCTGACCTGCCTACAAGCATGGCCAGAGATAAGGCAATAGGCCATCTTTGCCCTGAAGGCCAAAACTGCCACTTCTTGCAACCTACAGCAATTCGAAGGATGAGCAGGTCAGCATTGGTAAGGCTCAGCTCTGCTCTACACTCTGAAGATGCTGTCATTAGCTCCCCCAGGGGTTAAGGCACAGGCCAGATGATGATCAGAACGGCACCTCGCACATGGACCACTGTTCTTCAAGCCTCAGTGGTAACCCCAAAATTTGTATGGCATAACATCTGTCTGCTGTCCAGACATTTCCCATCCTCCAGCAGGATCAGAGGTAGATGTACAGAATCTCAGACTGTCAAAGCTGGAAGAGCAAAGGAGGTCAACTGGTCCAAATCCTACAGCCCACTGTACAAACGAGGAAACAGACTTTAGTGGCCCAGCCGGCCGACACCGACAACAGGAAGGAGCAGGCCAAAAAGCCCTTTGTGGGGGGGAGGGAGCACCCCCACTGTCTCACACCACTCTCTGCCCACCTTAGAGAGACAGGAGGACTGTCAGATATCGTCAGTCCCAATTTACAAAAAGGGAAACCAAATTTAGAGAAAAGAGATCAGAGCGCTCCAACCGGGAAGTCAGAGGAAGCTGTAGTTTGAGCCCAGTCTTCAGAGGAACGCAGGCCTGGTTAAGGCTGGCACTAGAGACTTCAGCTACAGGACTCTGAGCCTTGGTCCTGCACTTCTTAGGTCTGGGAGAAAGCTTAACCAGGTAAGTGGACCAAGAGAGCCTGAGCTGCCTCAAGGTGACTACTTCCTGGACCCAGATCCAGGAAAACCCAGCCTTCCTATCTGGGTTCAGACACCGGAATCCATCATAACTCCTCCAGCTAGAACGGGACCTGAAAATGCCTGTTCAGAACTGTGGCCGGTAATCAGACAGTCCTGACCTCTTCCATTCCTCCCTTGGGGGCTAGCCAGGAGTGGTGGGGCATTCAGGGCTCGGAGGACACTGTCTACACCCCAGGTAACTCTCTTACACCGCTGTCACCTTTGTTCGCTGAGATCGTCCCCACAGCAGCTGCCTTCAGAGAGCCCTTGGATCCTTTCTTCAAATGCATAGGCTTCATTCCACAGTCCTGAGTGGACCTGTCCAGGAAGGCCCTAGCTAGGCCCCCAGCTTGGCAACCTGGGGCCTCTAAATCACCCTGAAGCAAGATTAGGGGCAGAAGAGGGTCTAGCAGTGGACGGAAACCCAGCGCCGAAACAGGCAAAGTATTGAGCCATGTAGGGTAAAGCAGCACAGACCAGCTGCAGCTGAGGCCCTGCTCCAATAAGGATCCTTCAGGGGGACTTCAAACACGGGCAGGGATGAACAGATTGGCCGCATCCCACTGTCCACTTCTCCACCAAGGACACCTCGATCTCAATTCCCTACCAGACAAGTCCGAGCTGGCTCCACGGGAGGCTGGACAGCTGCCAGCCTATACATTGGATTTCTAAACTGTCCTTCCCTGAGTCAGTCCACCCGTCCTCTCCTGCAAGTTTCCCGCCTGTGTGACCCCATCATAACCAGGGCCAATGACCGACAACCGGCTCAAGCTGGGAGGAAACATCACGAAAAGGCTACAGCAGAACAGGACAGGGCCCAGTGTCCATCCCCCACCCACTGGTGGCGCTTTCTCCGGAACCAGTCTCCACCTCGAGGTCCTCTCATTCCAGAACCCCGGAGCACAGGGGGTTTACAGGAGCTAGCATCTCCGCGTTGAGCCTCTGCCGCCCGCTGTCCTGGCGCGGTACCGCCCACGCGGTACTCACCTGGCCTCGGTGCCCAGGCGAAGGAAGGAGAGCCGGCGAAAGGCGTGAAGCCCGAGCCGATCCAACTCTGTCCGTTCCTGCTGCACCTTCAGGGCCGCAGAGGTCCGAGTAGTTGTGACGCTGAGTCTAGAGAGAGAAGGGGGAAAGACAGAGACTGTGGGAGCGGCGCGAAGGGGAGCGCACGGTGCGACCTGGATACCGCAAGAGGCGAGGCCGCGGAGGTGAGCAGCCGCGCGGTACCGAGCCGGGAAGCCACGCCGCCTCACTCTCGCTGCAGCCCACACTCGCGGGATCCTGGCCCGCAGGCAGCGGCGCAGCGCAGGGACGAGTGCCGGGCTGAGTCTCTGCTCGGAGCCGGAGCGCCTCCCGGAGCCCGCAATCCCCCCCCGCCCCATTGGGATGCGGGAGGAAATTCAGCTTGTGTGGAACGTGGGACCGACCGGGCTCCGAGTCTCCCGCGCTGCTGGGAAAGCGGGGCCCACGCAGCGGGGACCAGAGGGGGTGCGGTCCCAGTGCCACCCCCGCGCCACTCCCCACGTGGCGGCCGCGCCCCCGGGGCGTGAATGTGTACGCGGACGGTGTAGGGGGGGGTCATGAATGAAGCACCAGCGGCCAATCAGCACGGCCGGCGCGCGGGACCCCGGCAGCAAGGCCCAATGGCGAGCTCTGGGCTCCAGGCCCCGGCGGCGGGCG